CTCAAGGCTAGTGCTCTACTGCTTGAGCCACAGTGACACTTCCGGTTTTCTAGTGGTTTATTGGAGATAAGAGTCTCTCGGACTTTCCTGCCCAGACTGGCTTTGAACCTTGATCCTCAGATCTCAGCCCCCTGAGTAGCTAGGATTACAGGCATGAGCCACTGGCGCCCGGTTTCTTTTTTTTTTTTTTGGTTGATCATAGGGCTTGAACTTGGGAACTGGGTGCTGTCCCTTAACTCTTCAGCTCAAGGCTAGCGCTCTACCACTTGAGCCACAGCGCCACTTCAGGCTTTTTTCTTTTTCTTTTTGCTTATGTGGTGCTGAGGAAGCGAACCCAGGGCCTCAGGCATGCAAGGCAAGCGCTCTACCACTGAGCCACCTTCCCAGCCCTCAGCTATTTATTTCTTAATAGATGGATTTGAGGTCTTCATTAAAGGTCTCATAAATAAACAATCAAATATTATTTCTCTGTGAAAGAACATAAAAGAATTTTAAGCAAAAAAAAAAGAATTGTAAGCAGTAGTACTCACTAGACACTATGTTAAAAGTTAAACTATACAACTTGTGGGTGGGGATGGGAAGGAAAAACTGGGAGAAAGCAAGGGAAGGGGTGACACTGTCAAAAAATAAATGTATTCATCTGATACACGTAGCTGTAACCACTTTGTACATCACTTTTATAATAATAACAAAATATCATTTATGATAATAGAATTAAGAGTTTTCTAGAAGTTGTTCTCTGTAAGCCAGATGTGGTAGCATATGCTTATGCTTCCAGCCCTTGGGTAGCTAAGATATAGGATCACTGAAGCTCAAGAGTTGAGACCAGACGGGCACCAGTGGCTCACACCAGACTGTCTACTGTAGTAGGTGCTTGGTTGTTACTAAGCAGCCTTGTGACTGGTTCCGACAAGCTGTAGTGTGGCCTGTAGTGAAGCACAGTGAATATTAGTAATTATAGTGGTATGCTTATTGTTTTCCATCCCAAATTCACGTTGAAAAACCTACATAAAAATAATCCACATTTTTTTCTTTCAGGAACACATACTGATTGGTACAGAGTACTAGCTAAGTCATTTTTATGAGTTTTAAATTGTAGGAGCAAATAAGGGCATCTTGCTGTGTTGTAAGAAGGCTCTTGCACTCAAACACCCCTGGAGTATGCATTTGTTCCTGGTTTTAGGCAGCAGATAATGGCAGCCCTGAACTCGCAGACTGCCGTGCAGTTCCAGCAGTATGCAGCCCAGCAGTACCCAGGGAACTACGAACAGCAGCAAATTCTCATCCGCCAGCTTCAGGAGCAGCACTACCAGCAGTACATGCAGCAGCTGTACCAAGTCCAGCTTGCACAGCAGCAGGTACGACAGACAGCCCTGAAGTCCAGCCCCAGAGAAGGTGCTCAGTTCACTGGAACCCAAGTTCTTTTCTCACGGTTGCCAGTGAATTTTGCATTAGGGTGCCTCCGTGGTGTAAACTTTTAGGTGAGGCACTAGGTAAATCTGTGTGTCTGGCAGTTGCAAGAAAAAACACTGTCAAAGCAACAGAAGATGTGTCTTAAAGGTGTATGGGAGTTGTGTGGGCCAAATGTCATTACAGTGAGTCTGTTGTAGGCCCTGGTAGTCATCTTGGAACCCTGAAGACCTTTAGTTCAGGGACAGCTCTCAGGCAGGGCTTTGTCAGGCCCCGCCGACTTTCCAGGGAGGCCCTTTCCCTAGCACCATTACCTGGCAGTGATGCATTGCTGCATCATACCACACAGTGTTCCTGTTCTTCAGCTCCCGTGCATAAAATTTTGCTTCAACTTAGGAGAAACTGGTTTAGGAGGAAGAGCACTGCAACTTTTAACTTAACTTTCCACTTACTGTTTGTCAAAACACCTGCATGGAGAAAAGCGTTACATTATTGTTACTCCACTAAGAGGACATGTTTTTGTCAAGTTCTTTGAATTCCTTGGAGATAGATACTTTTGTCTAAAAGACCTGTCCACTGGATGTGGTATGCTAGCCTGTAATACCTGCTACTTAGAAGCTAATGCAGGAGTATCAAGAATTCAAGCTCAAGCTGGATTCTGGCAATACCCTGTCTCACAAGTCAGGTACTGGCAGACTACGCCTATAATCCTAGCTATTGAGAAGTGGGGTTCAGATCTGAGGATCACTGTTGAAAACCATCCTGGACAAATAGCCAAAAAAGCTAGAAGTAGAGCTTTAAAAAATAATTCTTTTCTCTCCAAATCTTTGGTGTCAATGAGAAGGGTTTTTTTTTTTTAAACAAAAACAAAACCCTAGAGTTTACATAATCCACAAAAGGACCAAAAAAAGGGAAGCTAAACCATAGTTCATTCAAAAAGTAAGCCGAAGCCAGGCGTCAGTGGCACATGCTTGCATCCTGCCTCCTGAGGAGGCTGAGGTCTGAGGATCGCGGTTCAAAGCCAGCGGGGGCAGGAAAGTCTGAGACTCTGATCTCCTCCAATAAACGATCAGAAAACTGGAAGTGGCGCTGTGGCCCAAGTGGTAGAGCGCTAGCCTTGAGCTGAAGAGCTGAGGGACAGCGCCCAGGCCCAGAGTTCAAGTCCCAGGACCTACAAAAAAAAAGAGTAAGCAGTATTTTTGAGGGATTCTTCTGTCTTCTGTAACCTGTTTCTATTTTACAATATTGCTTCTCTTTTTCTATTTCTTTGATAGACTTTGAGATAACTTTTCATAGGATAGCTCATATACTTTATCTTGTTCTTGCATTGCTTTCACTTCATGAGGAGAAAACCAGTCTAGCACAACAAAGCCAGAATCTTTGAAATGAAGTTACTACGTCACAGTTGAGGTTAGAATGGTGCAACTCAGTCTATCAGATTATCTAGTTGCCTCTGGAAATAGGTAAAATAGACAACTGAGGATTCAGCTTTAGAGAAGTGTTTAGTTGTATTCCAACCAAAGTTCTTTTTTTTTGACAGTTGACAGTGAATTTTACATGAAGAGAAATAACAAAGGGAACCTGTTGAATGATACTCAGACATTAAAAAAAATACAATGAATTTACTTACACACACATACACACCAAAAAACTGGAAGTGGAGCTGTGGCTCAAGGTAGAACACTAGCCTTGACCACAAAAGTTCAATGATAGTGCCCAGGCCCTGACTTCAAGCCCCAGTACCAACACACACACACGTGTACAAAAACAGCCAGGCATGGTGGTACCGATCTGTAAGCTTAGCATCTGGGAGGCTTGGTTAGGGAGGTTTTGAGTTCAAGGCCAGTTGAGCTGCACAGTAAGACTCTGCCTTGAAAAAACAAGAGAAAGGTATTAGAAACAAGTCAGAAAACTTGTTACCAGGAATAGAGGTCCCAGGGCAATTAACAGGTTGTAGGTTATTTCTTGATCTGCGAGGTAGTTACGCGGTTGTACTTGATTTGTAAAATTGATCAAGCTGTATAATTCACGTTTTGTATACTTTTTTTTTTTTTTTTTGTACTGGGGATTGAACCTAGGACACTGCACTTGCTAGGCAAGTGCTTTGCCACTGAGCTACATCCTAGCCTTGTGTTCATCTTTACTTTTATTTATTTATTTACTTATGTAGTCAGTCCTGGGGCTTGAACTCAGAGCCTGGACTCTGTCCTGAGCCTCTCTGTGCTCAAGGCTAGTGCTGTACCACTTGAGCCACAGTGCCACTTCCAGCTTTTTGTGTTTATATGATACTGAGGAATTAAACCTAGGGCTTCATGCATGCTAGCAAGCACTGTACCACTAAGCCACGTTCCCAGCCCTGTTCATTATTTTTTTGAAGTTCCCAGAAGTTATTTAAGTAGTAGGTATTTGAAGTAGCGTTGATGCTGAGTGAAGGTGCATACGCCTGTAATCCTAACTACCGAGGAAGGTAAGATTTGAGGATTGAGTTCCAGAACAGCCTGAGCAGAAAAGTCAGTGAGACTCTTAACTCCAATTAACCAGCAAAATGACAGAAGTGGAGGTTTGGATCGAATGGTAGAGCACTAGCCTTGAGTAAAAAAGCCAAATGAGCCTGTATAAGCCCCAATATCAGCCTTCTCCCCACCCCCCCCACCCCCACACAAATCCAAAGGACTGGGAAGATGGCTCAGTGGTAGAGTGCTTGCCTAGCATGCATGAAGCCCCAGGTTCGATTCCTTAGAACCACGTACACAGAAAAAGCCAGAAGTGGTGCTGTGGCTCAAGTGGTAGAATGCTCACCTTGAGCAAAAGCAGCTCAAGACAGGCCCCAAGTTTAAGCCCTAGGATTGGCAAAAAACAAAAACAAAACACATGTTACTGTGCTCAATTTTTCCTTTAATAGTTTTAATTGAGATTATTTCACTTTTAGCTGTCAGTTGAAATTTTACTATCAGTATTCATTATGGATAGGATAAAAACATTAAATGCTTTGTTAGTAACTTATTAGAGCAGAATGCTTTGGTAGGGCAGAGATATAGAACTAACGTCCCATATGCTAGCCCTCCAGGTCAGTGTGTCTTCACTTTCTCTTGATTTGTAGGCAGCATTACAGAAACAACAGGAAGTAGTAGTGGCTGGGTCCTCTTTGCCTACATCAGCAAAAGTGAACGCAGCTGTAGCAAGCGATATGCTGTCAGTTAATGGACAGGCCAAAACCCACACTGACAACTCTGAGAAAGAACTTGAGCCAGAAACTGCAGAAGAAGCCCTGGAGAATGGACCAAAAGGTATGGTTTGGCCTACATCTTCCTATCTAGATGCTAGAGTGCTGACTGCATGAAAAGCCAGTCAGAAAAGGAGGAACTCACTGTAAGAGCATGAGATTCTGTGACCCTTAGAATCTTAAAACCACAACAAACATTTCATATTGCATAGTTTCTTAGGTCAGGAATTCAGGAGCAGCTCAGCCCAGTGGTTCTGGCTGAATGTTTGTCCTGAGTTTTCAGTCAAGGTGTCGGCCAAGACTGTGGTTGTGAAAAGCATGCTGGACTGGAGGGTCTGCTTCCCATGGCAGCTGGACTGGTGTGCTGCTCAGCAGGAGCCTCCTGGGTGGCTGGAGCCAGAAGCACTCTACCATGGGTTCGCCATGGGGCACCGTTCCTGAAGGGGACGAGGCAGAATGGCAGTGCCACGTCTTTTGTTTTTGTTGGTCATTACGTAGCCCAGGCTGGCCTGAGCATCTGTGTAGTCCAGGTTGACCTGGAACTCAGGATCTACCTACCTGAGCCTCCCAAGTGCTGGGATTACAGGTTTGTGCCTGCATACCCAGCCTGGTAGTGTTTTGTTTTGTTTGGCTTTAATGCCCTGACTTCAGACGTGGCACATCAGCATCTCCATCATACTGTACTGCTGGTCATAAGCCACTGGAGGGAAGGCTCACTGACCGTCTTAGAGGTGGGCTGGGATGTATTAGGACATGTTTCTGAGACTGAAGAACTGGACATTTTCCAAAGCTGCAGTGCTTTCTGTGGACAGCTTGTTCATCCATCAACCTCTTTGTCAGTTGACGAGACATTTTCTGGGTGTGTTTACACATCAGTGAATAACTCTTGTTAAGTGTACATTGTGGCTGTGGTGGGAAAGGGATGCGTTCTGTATGGGAATACGCAACGTGTGAGGGCGACCTCCGGGAGCGCAAATCTCCCTGGCCAGAACGCTCTATACTTCCCAAGAGTTTCTACAGCTCAGGGTTAAGACCTGGCTCAAGGGATGCAGTACCTGCCTAGCAAGTGCAAGGCCCTCACCCAGACCCTGGTACAGCTCCGCCCTCCGCCCAAGACCTCATCCAGACCCCCAGCACCACTCTCCACCCTCCACCCACGGAAGGGTTTGTAGCAGTGAGAGGAGCACTCTGGAGGCCTGCCGCATGCCTCATTGCACACAGATGCTCTTGTAGAGAGACTGTACCCCTTTTCTAGTGTGAGTGCTTCTCAGTTGTCTGGGTTTTTCTTTTTTAGCTCCTTCAGAAAAGCCCCTGAAACTTGGGGACCTTTGACCATGGTTCAAATCGTGGTCAAGGCTTTTTTGTTGGTTGTGGAGCTTGAATTCCGGGCCATGGTGCTGTCCTTGAGCTCTTCAGCTCAAGGTGAGCACTCTACCACTGGAGCCACAGCTGACTTTTTTTTTTTTTTTTCAAACAGTAATATATTCTCAGGTATGGGCTGGGAAGGTGGCTCAGTGGTAGAGGGCTTGCCTAGCCTGCACATAGCCCTGGGTTCCGTTCCTCAGCACATAAACAGAAAAAGTCAGAAGTGGCGCTGTGGCTCAAGTGGGAGAGTGCTAACCTTGAGCAAAAAGAAGCATTATGGACAGTGCTCAGGCCCTGAGTTCAAGCCCCAGGACTGTCTCCCCCCCACCCCCACGCCACACTGGAAAAAAAACCCAAACCACTTGTAAGGTTAGGGTTTCCACCTGTAGCCTGCTCAGTGCAGGAAGCTGGGGGGGATTTCGGGAAGCTTTCTGTTGCCTTGACTGGAGTGCACGAGTTAGGGCCCCTGTGCCAGGGTGCTGCCTGAGGACAAAGGATTTTCTTTTCAACTCAGTTCTTGTTGTCTTTAGAATCTTTTCCAGTGATTGCAGCCCCATCCATGTGGACACGACCACAAATCAAAGACTTTAAAGAGAAGATTCGGCAGGATGCGGACTCTGTGATCACCGTGGGCCGAGGGGAAGTGGTCACTGTCCGGGTCCCCACCCATGAAGAAGGATCCTACCTCTTCTGGGAATTTGCTACAGACAGTTATGACATTGGGTTTGGGGTGTATTTTGAATGGACAGACTCTCCAAACACCGCGGTCAGCGTGCACGTCAGTGAGTCCAGCGATGATGAGGAAGAGGAGGAAGGTAGGGCATGGCGGGCGGGCGGGCGGGGCGTTGGCAAGATGATACTTTACACACAAGGAGGAACGCGGCTGGAAAGGCTGTGGAGAGGCTCAGGCCCCAGCACGATTGCTTCTGCCTGCAGGGAAGTACGTTTAGCAATTTGCTATGCTGCTTGCTGAATGCTGTTCAGCGTTCAGCCTTGTATATTCAAAAACCAAATGCAGGAGATCTCTTTGAAAAATGTTTTTATTTTGTGTACATTTTTTTTTTAATGGCTCAGTCCTGGAGCTTGAACTCGGGGGCGCCGTCCGGAGCTTTTTTTTTTTTTTTTTGGTGGGTCGTGGGGCTTGAACTCTGGGCTTGGGTGCTGTACTTGCGCTCTTTAGCTCAAGGCGTGTGTTCTACGGTTTGAACCACAGGGCCACTTCCGGTTTCTAGTGGTTTATTGGAGATGAGTCTCACTGACTTTCCTTGCCTGGGCTGGCTTTGAACCGAGATCCTCAGAACTCAGCCTCCTGAGTAGCTAGGATGACAGGTGTGAGCCACCGGCGCCCGGCTCTCCCTGAGCTTGATTGCCCAAGGCTAGCACTCTACTACTTGAACCACGGCTTCACTTCTAGCTTTTTGGTGTTAGTTGGAGATTAGAGTCTCCCGAGTAGCTGGGACAACTGTAGAGCACCAGCGGCCCTTTCACTTTGAGAAGCTTTGAGGGTTTTTTGTTTTTGCTAATCCTGGGGCTTGAACTCTGGGCCTGGGCTCTGTCCCTTTGCTCAAAACTAGCACTCTCACCACTTGAGCGTCTTACCACTTGAGCCACAGTTCCACTTCTGGCTTTTTTTTTTTTGTAGTTTAATGTAGATAAAGAGGCTCAAGAACTTTCCTGCCCAGGCTGGTTTCGATCTGCAGTTCTCAGATCTTAGCCTCTTGAGTAGCTAGGATTCTAGGTGTGAACCACCAACACCCAGCTTCACTTTGAAACTTTCAAAGGAGCAATAAGAACTTCTGTCAACGGCGCTGGGAAGGTGGCTCAGTGGTAGAGCGCTTGCCTTGCATGCATGAGGCCCTGGGTTCGATTCCTCAGCACCACATAAGCAAAAAGAAAAAAGCCGGAAG